CATAATGGAATTTAGAACAGCAGGAGGCAAGTAGAGGAGTTTGTTGGAAAAAGAATCCTGTTCCAGAGAGAACTGGCAGTAAATATTGCTGATTGGCTGCCTGATAAGAATGGAATGGGGTTTGGAGGATTTCAGATTCTCATGAAATAAACATGTGATTTTGACCTTCCAAAAGTGACAGAAACTATTCTAAGTATCTCATCTTTCTCTCTCCCCTCTTTCAGCCGTCACTTGGGACTGTGCTCTTCTGGCAAAATCTTGCTCAAAGTTCGTCGTGGCTTCCCAAGGGCTGAGACACATACAAACTGAGAAACAGGGGCACATCTGTCTTTGGGAGTATCAAAAGGACATCTGAGTTATTTGCAAAAGCTAATACAGCATCTTGCACAAAACCCCCTCATCTTCTTTGTGGATGTAGGAACTGAAGTCCAGAAAGATTAAATAAGATTTGCCAAAAGCCACACAGCTGGACCCTAACATCTTCTATAGGCTCATAATCAAACTGGTCCTAATGATGAGTAAGCCCCCGTCTTGGACGTCATGGTCATTACACACATTACTAATAGTGGCCCCCAGACCACAGCCTCAGCATCACCTGGGAGTGGTGAGAAATGCAGACACTCAGGCCCCACCCTGACCTGCTGAATCAGAATCTGCATTTTAACAAGACAGTCAGGTAATCATGAATTTTGAAGTTGGAGAAGCACTGAAATGATCACTAATTCCATTTTCTAGATATTTTAGCTGTAGGGATGGGAGTTGCTGTTGACTCTACATTAATTATAAGTACATCAATCTCTTGAAAGGTATATTCTCAGCCCTACCTGGTAACTTAACATAATATTATCTTCAGTGTGTTTTGTGGAACATCTAGACTTTTAAAGATCCAGTCATTCCTCTGTGAGCTACAGATGTAGAAAACTGTTTTTATGAGACCCAGAAAAAAATGGTCAGTAGTCCTCCCATCTTTACACTGACTCATGCTGGTGTCTTTTCTTCAGAGCAGGTCAATTACCTGTCCCAAATCCCAGCAAGTCCCTAGACAGTAAACATAAATCTCAGCCCACCTCCTACCCAAGTTAACACAAATAATCAAAATAATAATAGTAACAGCTACTACTTATGTGGTGTTTGCAATGTGTCTAATGCTGTTTTAATAGCTTAATGTATAAAAAACTCACTTAATCCTCTCAGCAATCCTATTTGATGGGTGAGAACACTGAAGCACAGAGGTTAAGAGGCTTGCCCAAGGCCACACATGGTGGGGATTATAATCCAGGTCATCTGTCTCCAGACTCCATGCTGGTACCCACAACAACACACTGCTTCTCAAAATTATTCAAATTAATCCTAAACAGGGTTGCACGAGTTCCTTATTAAAAGGCTCTCATAATGAAAACTGATCATTAATTTAGGGGAATGTAATTCACTTTAAAGATTTTACTCAACAAAAATAAACAACTTAGAGGCCAGCAGCTACTAAGACATTACATTACAAAGTTAAGACATTACCTCCAGTCTCTAATTCTTGGTTGTAACTGCAAGACTGTGCAGTCTGCTGCTTGGAAGTGCTTTAAAATGTCATTGTGCCTGTAACTGGAATTGGCTCTGACATTAAAATTGCATTGTGTCTTCTATAAATGAGAAGCAGTGTGAGCTCTGAGGATTCGTGATATTGCTGGCTTTGCTTACCTATTAAATCAGTGATCTCAATTCTCTTTTCAGCTGCAGACAGCTCAACTCTTTTTGTCAAGGAATGTTAAGGACAATTCCATAAAGCCTTGTGCTCTGGTTGAAGTGGATAGGGATCTCTCTCTCAACACGTCTCTAGAAAGTTAAAGTCCTGGAAACACGGAGTGCAAAGCCCCCCCTGGAAACAGAGCAAGCAGCTTCTGGGGTGCATGAATTCAGCTCTCCTTAGACCTCCCTAACCAACTTCACACACAGCAATGTCCTTTGCCTTATGCCAAGAAGACCCCACCGTATCTGAATTGTCCTCTGTGCTGCTGAAGGGAAGGAAACTCCGGCCATACAGCTGGAAAGGGCACTGCCCAATGCTCGGCGAAACAGAAATGGGTCACAGAAACAAGATGAAGTCATGTTTCCAACTGCGAAGTACGCACAGAGAGCAGGCAGATTATGTGCTGAAGAGGGAGCACATTTGGATTACTTCTTTTTGCACCAGAAACACAAAGCAGAATAATGCACATGCCTAGGCCTGGTACAGGTAAAGAATTGTGGTTATAGTGTAGAAAATATAAAATCCATTAAGTTCCGCCTGGCCGGGTGTGGCTCAGCGGTTGAGCGTCGACCTGGGATCCAGGAGATTGGGGTTCGATTCCCGGTCAGGGCACATGCCCTGGTTGCGGGCTCGATCAATGACTCTCTCATCATTGATGTTTCTATCGCTCTCTCTCCCTCTCCTTTCCTCTCTCTGAAATCAATAAAGATATATTATAAAAAAAATCCATTAAGTTCCAACCAATAATCATGAGAAAACTGTTACCATGAAATGCACCCCACTGAGTGGCTGGCTAGTAGCCACTGCCAAGCCATTGTCCCTGTGGGTGTGTCTAAACACAATTTAAATTTATATAAATTAGTATGCAAAATAGTTTGAAGTGCTGGCAGCTCACAGGGAGAATGGCAAAGTGGTTCCTAATTTCTTTCTTTTTTTTAAAAGAGGTTTTCATTCTTTTTTTTTTTTTTAATAGATCTTTATTGATTTCAGAGAGGAAGGAAGAGGGAGAGAGAGATAGAAACATCAATGATGAGAGAGTCATTGATCGGCTGCCTCCTGCAGGCCCCTGACTGGGGATTGAGCCCGCAACCCGGGCACATGGCCTGGCCAGGAATCAAACCTCGATCTCCTGGATCCTAGATCGATGCTCAACCGCTGAGCCNTGGGGTGCATGAATTCAGCTCTCCTTAGACCTCCCTAACCAACTTCACACACAGCAATGTCCTTTGCCTTATGCCAAGAAGACCCCACCGTATCTGAATTGTCCTCTGTGCTGCTGAAGGGAAGGAAACTCCGGCCATACAGCTGGAAAGGGCACTGCCCAATGCTCGGCGAAACAGAAATGGGTCACAGAAACAAGATGAAGTCATGTTTCCAACTGCGAAGTACGCACAGAGAGCAGGCAGATTATGTGCTGAAGAGGGAGCACATTTGGATTACTTCTTTTTGCACCAGAAACACAAAGCAGAATAATGCACATGCCTAGGCCTGGTACAGGTAAAGAATTGTGGTTATAGTGTAGAAAATATAAAATCCATTAAGTTCCGCCTGGCCGGGTGTGGCTCAGCGGTTGAGCGTCGACCTGGGATCCAGGAGATTGGGGTTCGATTCCCGGTCAGGGCACATGCCCTGGTTGCGGGCTCGATCAATGACTCTCTCATCATTGATGTTTCTATCGCTCTCTCTCCCTCTCCTTTCCTCTCTCTGAAATCAATAAAGATATATTATAAAAAAAATCCATTAAGTTCCAACCAATAATCATGAGAAAACTGTTACCATGAAATGCACCCCACTGAGTGGCTGGCTAGTAGCCACTGCCAAGCCATTGTCCCTGTGGGTGTGTCTAAACACAATTTAAATTTATATAAATTAGTATGCAAAATAGTTTGAAGTGCTGGCAGCTCACAGGGAGAATGGCAAAGTGGTTCCTAATTTCTTTCTTTTTTTTAAAAGAGGTTTTCATTCTTTTTTTTTTTTTTAATAGATCTTTATTGATTTCAGAGAGGAAGGAAGAGGGAGAGAGAGATAGAAACATCAATGATGAGAGAGTCATTGATCGGCTGCCTCCTGCAGGCCCCTGACTGGGGATTGAGCCCGCAACCCGGGCACATGGCCTGGCCAGGAATCAAACCTCGATCTCCTGGATCCTAGATCGATGCTCAACCGCTGAGCCACGCTCAGCCAGGCGGTTCCTAATTTCCTGATGCTCTCAACTCCTGTTGGCATGTGTGGAACTGGGTGTCAGGGCCCCTCCCAGGTCCCCTTGGATGCCTTTTAACTGTTTCTGTGCCCTCCACCCCAAACTCAATGGCTTGGGATAACTAATGACTTGGGATAAGGGAGCATGAGGGCCCAGCTGCCTAGCCCTGGGGTGGGGTGGGACAACTCAGAGGTGGACTGATCCTTGAGTCCCCATCCTCTTTGGGACTTTATCTGAGATGATACATTTGCTTGGGTCCCTTCTCTGTCCCAGTTCCTTTATCTGTCCCCGAGGGACACTTCCTTTAAAATCAGTTGCACATGAATTCTCATCTTGGGTCTGCTTCTGGGAACCCTACCTAAGAGACCACGCTACGACAGCTAACTCCCTAGCTGGCCGTTACTTCAAAACTTGGCCTCCCAGCAGCAGTTCTGGTGCACAATTAACATAGTACGTACCATACCCTTTTCCTACCACAAATCTGTCCACAATCTTTAGCCTCAATTGATCGTACTGGATTAAAATGGTGGGACCCTAAGCTGAAATATTATAGTCTTATTGAGAAGAATGTACAGGGTATGACAGGTATGGGATAAATAAATGTTCAAATTAATTTAAAAAACATTTCTATGATGCAGTAGTGTGTTTTTCTTACTAAGTTTGGCATAAATAATTTAAATAAACCTTCAGGGAGAGGAGTTGGTTTTGGTTTGTTTCTTAAAGTTCGTGATCTTGCAGTTCCAAGGAGCTATACAATTGCATGAGAAGCAAATGGAAAGAAGATAAATCTGCACAAATTAAAATTTACCTGGAAAATTTCTTTTTGACCAAATTTTTAATATGAACTTGCTTTCTTATGATTTTTCTAACTCTCTGGGTTTGCATGTGGCAAAACATTCTGAGTCTCCTTAGGTTTCACTGATTCTGTCACCTCTGAAGCAAGTCCATCCCACGGTACATGAACTGTGACAAACCCAGTGAGAACTGACGACCCAGATGGGGCCAGCCTCATGTCACTGAGTACCTCAGCTTTCCGACACACATAGTATCATGGCTCACCTTCACTCCCAGGGATTCTCCAGAGATGACAGCAACAGTCACACCATCCTTACTGGGTTTAGGAATTTCTTTACTTTTCAGTTCCTGGTACTGAGGCTCCACCATCTTCTCTGAGCTCCTCAAATTAACCCACAGTTGTAGGCCATGGGCTGGCTCCTCTGAGCATGGCATCTCGGCGTGCAGAATGCCCCGGCCTGCAGTCATCCACTGCAAATAGCAGACCAACAAGAGGGAAATGTAACTCAGACTCAAACAAGTCTACAGGTGGGACCATTATGTCATGGTAACTGAGTGATGTACCTTACCAGGCATCATAAGGAATAAGAAAACAACAATGACAACTTCTGGAACCCTTTCTAGTTTTCCCAATGCATCCCATGCTTCCCATTTGAAATCAAAGCATCAGATCTGAAATTCACACAAATAGAAAGAGCCTCTCTTTGGTAGCCCTGAGTCTTCAACTGAGCACTGAGATGAGAAGATACAGGCAGACAATATATTGGGGAGTGCTCTTGGGAGCATCTTAAAAAGTAAAAGAAAAAGCCTGATTGGGTAGGGGGAAAAGCTAGCCAGCAATGCAATTACAACGAAGGCCTTAACCAATCTAATAGGGACGTCTGGAGTTGAGTAAACCTTCAGAATTGTCCCAAATTAAGGTGAGGTAGGCAAGCTTTTTTATCCCCACTTCAGCAAACCAGTGCGCCACCCCCAGTAGGGAGCACAGAGCCTTGGAAGAGGCAGTTCCTGCTGCAGAGGGCAGTGCCCAGGGCGGGATGCAGCTGTGAGCCATCAGCAGCGAATGTCTGCAGCAGCTGGAGAATGGGTAAGTGTGAGGGCCTAAAGGTACATGTGCAGGCTCCACATGGATGGGTGATCTGAGTCTCTGTTTGCTCAATTCTAGTAATGGAGTCCTCGCTACCTAGAGAAAACAGTCATTGTTTCCACTGTTGTAGAGATTCTTCAAATATTTGTTTATTTCTTTATTAAGAGCATATTAGGGATGAAGAGATGGAACATGGTAGATTCCCTGCCTGTCTTAGCTTGGGTTCTCCCACAGAAGATCCTAAGACAAGGACTTCTGTGCAGGTAGTTTATTTGGAAAGTGATGCAGAAAGCACAAGTAGGGAAGAGTAGGGAAGAGTGAGCTAGGCAAGGGAGAAAGTGAAAATGGGGTTAGTGAGCAGGTTACACCTGTGGGCACCTGGAGCTCAATCGCACTGCGATCCACAAAGACATACCTTAGAATCATCACATGGAGGGCAGAAGAATGGCCACTTCCCTGTTGAGCTCACAGCCAGTCATCACATAGACCTTCCAGGCCATCTCTACTTTATGTTCTGCTCCAGTGAAAGGTTACTGTTAACTTTTGGCCACAACTCTATCCTTTTGCTTTTTTTTCCGCCTTCAAATTCCATGTTCATTAAAACACCATGAGTCAAATATTTGCAGTTATCAATCTGCCAAGTATGTAAATGATCCCAGAAAGTAGCTGATATAAAGTTCAGACTTACAAAATTTGCAAAGATTACCCAAGAATTTCCTGGAGATTTTAAATTCTAATACGTATCAGACAAGTCTAGGATGGTGGCAGGGTTTGGGTCATTGTCTTAAGCGATAACACCTACCCCTTCAAACGAGCTGGAAGATAAGTAGTAAGTTGTTTCAAACACAGCAGAAAAGTCTATAAAGATGAGGACCGAAGCTGGAATGCTGAATTTGGCAACTGGGACATCATGAGTGACCATTACCTGAACAGCTTCAGTAAATGTTTGGGGGCTGCTGAGAGGCCAACACTGATTGCAATGAGTGAAGGATGAAATGGAAGATAAAGGAAATTGAGACTGTTACTCCTCATTACTCTTTTGATAAATGTAAGAGAAAGACTAGGTGGTAGCTAAAAAGTGATGGAGGGGGTCAAGGAAAGTATGAAAGAGGAATGTAAGAGACCCATGCAAGTTTCCAGGCTGAGTGAAAAGATACAGAAAGGGAGAGGTCAAAGATATGATAGGGAGGAAAATGTGAATGTACTGGCAGTGGGCAGATCAAGCATGCACAGCCAACAACTATTAAACCATCAGATTCCTTGTCCTTGGCCATACCTGCAAGTCTCCTGGGTTCAACTGACCAACGTGTCCACAGAAGTCTTCATGGGCCATGCTGCCCCCTTCCAGGAGGTAAGATACCTTTGAAAAAACAAGCAGAAGAAAAAGTAGATGTTGGTTAGCTGTGAAGAGTTGTTTATTTTTCCCACAGAAAATGTGTTGAGGAAAATTTCAGGAGCAACTAAGACAGTAGGGTTAGCTGAGGGAATGAACCTCAGTGAAAGGGCTGTGCTAGCCCACACATCTTTGAAAGAATTTCACACAGGAGCCCCTTCCTTCCAGCAGAGGCAGACCTGGTCATGTCAGAGCTCACAGCCCAGTGAGAGGAGCCCCCACTTAACTCCTTAGCCCCATAGGCCATGGTCCAGCCATGGTGGGTCCTAGAGCTCAGGGTGAAAGAGAAGTAGCTCCTGTTGAAACAACTGGGGCCTGGTGACCAAGTGTGTGTGGTCACTCAGGTGTGTGGAATGGCAGACCTAAAAGGTGACTTGAGAACTCTAAAGGAAATGTATTTCTGACACCAGGCACACAAACTAAGTACTCAATAAATGTTTGTAAAATATGTCAAATAAATTCATATGAATTAAAGTCAACTTTCCAGAGGCAGGTCCATACTAAATCTAAAAGTGAAAAGAAATTCTGGGCTGTTCAATAGAGCAGCCACTAACCATGTGCAGCTGCCATTTTTGATATTTCCTTCCCCGTGGAGGGTATTCCATTAACATCAATACTCCTAGGCTCTTGCTGTCCTTCAGCACCCCTGGGAAGGAAACAACTTAATCTGATTGGAGGACATGAAAGCAGAAACCACCTGCATAGCTGAAGCCCTGCCCCTTTCCTTCCCTTTGGGGAACCAGCCTCCCTACAGAAAGCAAGTGTCCTCTTTAGCTCTCTGCCTCTGTGAGCTCCCTGGTGGTGGCCTGCAGGATTCCAGCACAGCCAGTGATATCTGAATAATGTCTGCCTAAGTTTCATGTGCAGTATTCAGAAGCAGTTGCCTGCAGATATAAGCCACGTTCTCCAATCTCAGCTTCACCAGAAATAAAGGAATATTTTGGTCTGCCATCTTTCTTACTCTTTTATCTACTCAACTGGTTCAGAATCCAGGCTGGGAAAACAGGCAGTTTATTCTGCCTCCTCATAATTCAAACTAAGGACAATGAAAGACCTGATACTGTAATACTGTTGAAATCTTATACTGTACCTTTATAATAAACCCACCTCTTCTTCAGCTAACTATTGGGTGCCAGCTTCTGAAACCAAATGTTTATAGAGAACTTACTCCAGTGCAAATCAGGGCTAGCTGACAGGAGGATTCTCCATGTGTCATCTTACAGAGCAATGTCACTGAAGTATACAGTGTACGGAATGTCCTCTGCAGCAAGTGACAAGTGACAGGCAGATGGCTACAGAAACTGGAGTTTCTAGGTTGTGGTGGTTAATTTTATGTGCCAACTTGACTGGGCTAAGGGATGCCTAGATAGCTGGCAAAATCTTATTTCTGGGTGCGCCTGGGTGAAGGTATTTCTGGAAGAGATGAGCATTTGAATCCATAGATTAAAGAGGACAGCCCTCACCAATGCAGGTGGGCATCATCCAATCCACTATGGGGCCAAACAGAACAAAAAGGTGAAGGAAAAATCAATTCTTGCTCTCTCTTCTTCAAATAGAACGTCTATCTTCTCCTGCCCTCAGATCAGAGCTCCTGGTTCTCTTATTTCAGACTCTGGGACTTACACCAGGAACAAATTCCCACCCCTGCTTTCAGGCCCAGGACCTCAAACTGAATTATATCACCAGCTTTCCTGGTTCTCCAGCTTGTAGATGCCAGATCATGAGACCTCCACCTCCATAACCACGTGAACCAATTCCCATAATAAATTCCTCTTTATACCTATCTCTATATATCCTACTGGTTCTGGTTTCTGGAGAACCCTGACCAGATTTTAAGTCTAAAACCTCCATCTGGGAACTTGGTATAGTAATGGCAACAGTGCAACATTGGCTTGGAAATAAAAGAGACCCATTTGTACAGAAAATTAATAAACACTGCCTTTATAATTATTCAAAGTGTATGCATACTTTTTTTGGATTACCCTGTATGGTGACAGTCATTTCAAATCAATGGGCCAAGGATCCATTTTCCAATAAATAGTATTGGAAAAATTGGCTGACCATATGAAAAAAGAGAGTAACTCCCATTATACACAGAAATATGTGCCAAATGGAAAAGGGATTTAAATGTAAAAAATACACTTCTAAGATTTAAATCTAAGGAGAGAATATAGAATGTCTATACAAATCTATCTTTGCAATGTTTATTATCATAGCAAAAAGACAGGATAATCTGGATGATGGATTAATAGAATACATTTAGCTAAATTATGGTATAGCTATACAAGGGAATATTATGCAACTGTTAAAAGTAATATAAATCTCTATTTACTGAAACAGAAAAATGACATTATTTAATTTAAAAAAAGCAGGTTACAGAACAATAATTTTATTTAAAGGGATCATATACAATGATCCATCTAAATGGGTTCATTTAAATAACATTGGATCCAGTTACGTCAGGGTATGCATGGAGGTACTGTTAGTGAACTAAAGGAGTTCATTGGCCTGTGAACATTAAGGCCTAATCAAACTCCACCAGGAGTTTGCAGCAAAGAAACTAAAGGTTTATTTAAGGAAATGACACCAAACCTGAAGTCACAGGTTAACTGTTATCTAAGACCTGGCTCACTGATGGCTTCTAGGGGATGGGTTACATAGGGGAAAACTCATTAATCATGGTGGAGTTAGGGTCGTGGCCTCCGTTGATTGGTTGGTGCTGGGGTAGGGGTTAGTTGAACTTTGTATCTGGTCCTGATGTCAGTCATGGTATTGCTCTATATGGTTTCACAAGGGTGTGGTCAGTGGGGTCTTTCTGGTTTTCTGGACCTGGAGCTGAAACACAACTGAGACCTTGATGTTATTTCAGTTTGACCAAAACTCGTTCTCTGTGGTCAACAGACCTGAGCCTTGGTTCCTAAGATTATTTGATGCTGATCAGAGCCTTTTATCCTGAGGGCTTAGTGATTAAGGGAGTGGGCATGCAACAGAGAAGGAGGCCGGTGAATCAGGGTGCTCCTAGGCTGGGCACAGCCAGTTTGAATCAAAAGGAAAGAAAGGGAAAAGGTCAGACTAAATAAATGAAGTTTCTGCGTGGTTATAGTGCCTAGATGGACACACAGCAAAATGTGAACTGTGATCATCTCCAGATGGTGGAATTGCATCTGCGTGTTGTGACCTTCTTTCCACTTTTCTGGTAGTTTGGGTGTTCTGGAATGAGTACTTTACTTTTTTACAACAAAAACAAGTCATTTATTGTGGGAAAATATAATGCTGCTGCTGCTAATAAATGAATGAAAGTAAGTGATGTGAGTTGTTCCTTGTTTTGGTGAACTGGGGCTGGGCAGGAAGGCAGTGAGACATAAGGGAAAACACTAAGAATCAGAAGAATAACTCCATGTTACATGTGAGGACAACAGAGCTAGCTCTGACTTTAATGTCACTAAGTGGAAAAGACCTGGAACTGCTATAGAGGACATTCAGGCCAAAATAGGAATTAAGCACTTAGGACTCCACACAAAGCTTAAAAATTCCAAATTACAAAGCAGCAGCCCAACTACCAGGAGAAGTGTCTAGAATTGCTTTCCTTTTCCTGTTAAGCATGCATTTTCAATTAAAATAACTGCATAATAAAGGCGATTGTCATTCTGTTTGGGCTGAAGCTCTCCTTTAGGTTCTCAAAGGAGTCTCTTTCAAATCATATTCTTTCCATCCCCAAAGATTTCTCAATTATCTAAGCCTAGGGGCTTTCAAGTTGTTAATCACCTCAAAATATGTCAGGCAAGTTTATAATGTAAATTGTGGTGAGCATGACTCATTTATTTTATTTTATTTTTTAAATACATCTTTATTGATTTCAGAGAGAGGAAGGAGAGGGAGAGAGCGATAGAAACATCAATGATGAGAGTCATTGATGGCTGCCTCCTGCACGTCCCCTGACTGGGGATCCAGCCGGCAACCCGGGCATGTGCCCTGACCCGGAATTGAACTCCGATCTCCTGGATCCCAGGTCAATGCTCAACCACTGAGCCATGCCTGGCCAGGCAAGCATGACTCATTTAAAGATGAATATTTATGGTGGACACCAAGAGGCTTGTTTTATTTTTTGTGGGGTTTTTTGTTTTGCAAATTTTATTTTAGAGAGCAATTCCAACACTATTTCTAAAAGATTGAGAAGCCAATTTATCCCCCTTCTCCTCTAGTTTTGAAATAGGAATGTCCTCTTTTCTCTGCTAATACAGAAATAAACATCACTTCTCCCATCCTAACACTTTAAAACCTGTATCAGAGAAATCTGGTAAATGAAGATCTGCTGAATCTGTAATGCCTACTTTTTACTACTTACAGCAAATGTACTTTCAGCCTTTGGGGGGAAATGAGAAACCAGAGAAATGACTCTTTATTATTATTATCTTTTATTTATTTATTTATTTATTTATTTATTTATTTATTTATTTATTTATTTATTTATTTTTTGCTTAGTGCTATAAATGCTACACTGAGACCTTAAAAGTCTAAATGAATGCCTGCAAATTTTTTTAAAAACTCAAGCAGTACTTTGCGAGTTGACACAATCCAGATGACTTTTTCAGTACATTACATAATCACAAACACCTGGACTGCCGTGGGTGGCTGATGGATTTGGGAGTGTTATGTTTAAACTCAAGAGTTGCATGTGTCTAATTAAGTAAGAAATGTGTAATCGGAAACAGGTGTTTTCTTAAAGGACTTGCCATGCTTCCTGGTCCTGCTCATCCTTTCCTCCTTCTAGTCCTAAACTGCTCATGGGTCTCTACTAAATATTTTAGTTTCCTTGTCAGTTCTTATTTCTTTTTGTATTTTGTGTGTTTGTATTTGGAAGGAGAAGGGTACAAAGCCACAACAATAATGAAAGAAAAGTGGCACTTGCAATGTGAAATTTAGGAAAGGTATACCTTGAAGAGCTATAAATTAATTTTGCAGAATTA